ACTAGATGTGATGTATGACAAACTAGATGTGATGTATGACAAACTAGATGTGATGTATGACAAACTAGATGTGATGTATGACAAACTAGATGTGATGTATGACAAACTAGATGTGATGTATGACAAACTAGATGTGATGTATGACAAACTAGATGTGATGTATGACAAACTAGATGTGATGTATGACAAACTAGATGTGATGTATGACAAACTAGATGTGATGTATGACAAACTAGATGTGATGTATGACAAACTAGATGTGATGTATGACAAACTAGATGTGATGTATGACAAACTAGATGTGATGTATGACAAACTAGATGTGATGACAAACTAGATGTGATGTATGACAAACTAGATGTGATGTATGACAAACTAGATGTGATGTATGACAAACTAGATGTGATGTATGACAAACTAGATGTGATGTATGACAAACTAGATGTGATGTATGACAAACTAGATGTGATGTATGACAAACTAGATGTGATGTATGACAAACTAGATGTGATGTATGACAAACTAGATGTGATGTATGACAAACTAGATGTGATGTATGACAAACTAGATGTGATGTATGACAAACTAGATGTGATGTATGACAAACTAGATGTGATGTATGACAAACTAGATGTGATGTATGACAAACTAGATGTGATGTATGACAAACTAGATGTGATGTATGACAAACTAGATGTGATGTATGACAAACTAGATGTGATGTATGACAAACTAGATTTGATGTATGACAAACTAGATGTGATGTATGACAAACTAGATATTTTGAGAGCCCTCTGTGGGCGAGTGAACAGTGCGGAAGCGCAAATAAATCATTACGGTCTGAGGAGAATGGCGTTGCGAGGAGTTGCCAGGGGATTTGGCCGATGCTCAACACTCAAGGGAAAGGCGAGACGGATATACGATCAAACAGCTATTGGAACTTTTCGTTTGCTGCTGAAGATAGGGATGGAGCGCTTTTGGGAGTGACGATTCTAATTTCAACATTCGACAATATTTGCGAGTGATATGATCAAAATTAAAAAAAAAAAATTAAAAGTAACGAAGGATAAATGCATTCGAAAACAAATGCCTGCGAAAAATTGAACATTAGATTGGACAAATCCAAGAAAGGCGAGAAAATAAAATACCTAGCTGGGCTTCCGATAGTGTCAACAAAGAAATGTTAGCTATCTATCTAATGTTATACCCAGGTATTTCCTCGTATCAGGTCTCTCCACATTAGAACGACAGAGTTTTACCATCAGCACTGGGTTTTGTAAAGGTGATTATTTAATGAGAACCAGGAGACTGTACTATCATCAGGGAAGGCTCGCTCATGGGCCACTAAAACATCCAAGACCTACAACAGATTGCAACGAACCGCCATGCATGGAGAGTCATGGCCTCTGCCCTATATGCCGCACTCGACACAAGAGGAAAGACTAACTAAGGAGACTGTCGCTTTGGATGGCTTGACTGTTGCTATTGAGGTGTTGCACCATGATGATACACGTTCCATTTCCCGTTGTAGATCCGAAACAATGTTAGCACTGTTTCTGCCCTGTGGATACGCGAAGATGTCATCTGCAAATGGTGGAGAGCTTTCTCTGCCACTTGGCTGCACCCCTTTGATCTTGACTGTGTAGATGTGGAAAAGTATTGGAGACAAAGGGGAACTTAGTTTCAAACGTGGGCTTGCTGTTACCGGTTGAGAAAACCAACCACCACATCGAAGCACGGCCTTCCTCTGGGACAGTAGAGCAGAAATCCTTCGAATGAGACTTGCGGGAGGGGGTGGAAAGGGGGCAGGGGGTCAAGGGAGAGAAAATGTTGAGTTCCATTAACTGCACATTAGCTAGTTAGTTAGTTAGTTAGTTATTCCTCTTGTGCCAAAGATGGCGCATAGGGCAGAGGTCATAGCTTTCCACGTCTGTCGGTTCGTTGCCACTTGATGTAGGTCTTGAGTGCGACTGAGACCTATGGTTGAGCTCTCCCTTGTGATGGTTCTACGGAGAGTTTCTTTTGGTCTTCCCTGTTTTCTTTTACCCTCTGGTGACCATATGAAGGCTTGGTAGGGAAGTCTCTGTATGTCCATTCTGAGTACGTGACCGATGTAATTCCAGCGACGCATTCTAATAAAATCAGACACATATTTTTGTTTTGTTTCCTGTCTTATAGATGTATTGGACCTAAAGTCCGACCAGTGAACATTCAACAGCACATTAGTTGGTGGAAGGGAAATTTGTTGTATGCATCCTCCAGATCCATGGCGACTGCACATGTTTTAACGCTGGCTTAAAAACCTTCATGTGTGTGTGTGCAGTGAGGACAGTGTTACGCTATGTCTCTGTGTCATGAAAAAAGAACAGTAAAAGTGTTGATGTACGAGTATGCTATGTGTGAAACAGCAGCCGAAACCCCTTAAACCATTTTTCTACACTTGGTGAAAGTGTCAGCGTGTGCTAAAACGCTTAGCTCTGCAGCCCACAGCGTTAAGGTTAACTAGCTTTTCTTCGGAGAGGTGAATAGGGAAGTTAAGTAGCCTGCCTACGACCCGTAGAGCACTCTTGTCAACTCCACCGACTCGTGGTGTATTAGTCCTTGTATGAGTCCTCCAGATCTATGGCTTTAAAATCTTCATGTGTGTCGTGTGCAGTGAGGACAGTGTTACGCTGTCTCCGTGTCCTGAAGAAGAACAATATATGCTAACGGGGCACTGGCTCACTTGGGAGAAGGCGGGCACCAACCATGTCAGGGTTTTCCCCCCTGTCACGCGACGGGCCTGGCAAACAGGCATTGTTGTAATCAATCGCCACTACACAAAAAAAGAATGTGGAATAATATGAAATGAATAAGGCATTAGAAACGAAAATAACTACAGGTGAAATCTCCTGCCTCAGCAAGATCGCTAACACCACAAGAAAGGGACAGGGTTACGAATACCAGCCTTACATAGAAATTTTGAATAATAACGCGTATAAATTATATTGACTGACAAGGAATGAAATGGTTCGACCACCTAGTAGGAGTGCAGCCAGACAAAGCTGTGAGAAAAATTCCTGGGAAATAAAGACATCCATCGTAATGTTGACCGTTAGGCTACTCTTCGATTTCCAATTGCCAAGGAAATTTTTACGTGCTCAACAATGTACACGGGCGTCCGATCTCACTACCTAGAAACCAGTGGGGAATTACTAGAAGTCCAAGTCCACGTGAAAAAATCCCAGCCCTTACAGGGGATTGAACCAGGAGCCTCTAGCACTCGAGGCGGATACCATGCCTCGAGACCATACAGCCCCCTGACCAACTGACAAATAATGTACCAACGCAAACGGGAAGAAGTACGAACGGAGCTGATATCATCACTTGTGCAGTTGCCAAGTATTGTTTTGTTATCATAACTGACACCTTTGCACATTCAACATTCCCATGCATGCTCAGTCCTCAGATGCAGCAGCCACTCTAAGGTACCTATACTGGTTGTTCCCGTTAGAAGCTGGTTATAGTTTTACCTGTCTTTACCTTAAAGATATCATCGACGTGCTTTATCAAGCTTAACTCCTCGGTCACGCAATCGTGTAGGCGTCAAGGATTCTACACAATTCCCCCAACCAAGTCCCTACAGCTTTGATGATATCAGCTCTGCCCATGCTTCTTCCCCTTTGCATTGGTGCATTACTTGCCAGCTTGTCAGCTCTTTCATTACCATTTACTCCTGCGTACACAGGTGTCTTGATCTAAATGATGGAGGTTAACAACAACATCCGAATGCTTTCTACCTATTCAAAGAGTAGACTACGTGTAGCAATTTTCTGAAGCATGTTCACAAATTCTGAAATGATTACCGCATGTGTTAACGCATGCTATGCTACCCACGCGAGTGCTCTGAAAGCAGCAGTTATCTCCATGGTCATACTGGGCGTAGTTGTCTTGTAATTCAACCGCATTGTCTGTGTATACTTCTTGAAATATTGAGCGAACACTACATCTGCATGCAAGTACAGATACCACAATACCAGCCAGTTCTGTGTGAAATCTCTAAACCTCGCTTAGTTGACTCCAGCCACGTTTACTAATTGTTTCGTCAATAATATGCCGGCAATTTTAATCCAAGCACTGCACGAACAAGATCACTTCGATTTCTGGCTGACATAGACTAATATAAACTCATTTCTACGTCTTTGTTTATTTCTTTCGTGTGGTAGCTGACGTGAAGTAGAATGTAAATGTATGTTTTCTACTACGTTTGAAGTGGATTGTTGCGTACACTAATAGAACTGTGTTGCTGTGATTTAAACATAGCTTTATTATATGATTAATAAACTCACGGAAAATAACTAAGTCATATCAGGGTACGGAGATCTATGCCAGTTATCACGCAGGGCCGCAAAGACTTTATTATTTTAAGTAAGGAGGTATTTTTGAGTATTTGTTAAATTATTCGTTTGCTAATTCAATGTCGTTTCCGTCTGAATGCCTGTTTTAGGATTATTTGTAAACATAGTCATCAGTGGACTTGCAGACTTGAGTGGGTTCATGCTTCATATCTCCTGAAGGTCTACAACATAATTAAATGGTTCAATGAATGTAAAAAGGTTCAAGTAGAAATAACTGTATTTAGGCACAACAATAACAACAACAAAGCAAGCACTTCTTCTTTTGTCGTCTCACTGAAACCAGGTTGTAGCCCAGTGTCCTGGTTTTCTGTATTCGTCTGGCGCTTTTCGGGTGGTTTGAGTAATGGATGGATTTGTTCATCCGTTTGCAGGTTTCAGCTATACCATTTATCCATTTCTTTCTAGGTCTTCCTCTCGCCTTCCTCCCATCTTTTTTACTGTAAAAAATATCATTTGCAGTCTGGTGTTGCTGCATTTCCCACTAGATGACTGAACCATTTCATTCTGTGTCTGCCAATATAATCCAGACATGGTCTTATTCCAACTTTCTCTCTGGTATTCGTAACCCTGTCTCGTCTAGTGTTGTTAGTGGCCTTTAGGAGACAGCGCATTTCACACGTAGTTAGACATATTTCCATGGCGTGAGTGCGTGGCATCCTGGTCGCTGTGGTGCGCCTTCTAGCTGGTTGCCTCCTTCTTCAGCACCTTGTTTTGCAAGGGTAGACTGTGGTTATCCTCTGCCTCAGAACAGGGCAAACCGATTACGTAACCACATGTACACACAATTCCATATAAACGTATCAGCCATGTGCACCCGTGGAAAGGTGCCCCAGACAGCAGAGCATGTACTCTAGATCTGCACCGAATTTGACACAATAAGGCAAACCTTTTGGCCAGAAAGAACAACAGTGGAACGTAAACTCTATGGACCACTGAATGAATTAACAACAACAGAGAAATTTATACAAGAGACAAAATTGCTGATATACACAACTTATTTCAGGCGAATGAAAGAAGAAGAAGACACGTAGTTATTTTCTACTCTAGTGCACTCAAGAGGATTGAGAATAAATTGGAATATGAACTACAAGAAACACAAGCGGGCTTTAGACGTTGCGGGCGAACATGAGACCATTTTTTTAATACCAGAATCATCCTAGAGAAGTGTAGAGAATACAAGATAGAACTTAATACTTGTTTCATAGACTACAGCAAGGCATTTGATTGTGTGCAGCACCATAAATTATGGCATATATATAATGACAGGCAAGGGATTTCATAATCATCTCGTGCACTTAATGCAATCTCTATACCACTAACAGCAAGCAGCGGTCAGTGAAACTGGTGAAACATCAGAATGGTTTGAAGTGCAGAAAGGAGTGAGAAAATGTAATGAGAAAGGCAATTAGCGATGAGGCATGTAAGAGCTTTGATCCACTAAAAATTGGAAGTAATCCTTTTTCCAGAAGTCAGATATGCAGACGACACAGTTCTCCTTTCCAACAGTGTACAAGGTTTAGACAAATTAATTCTGGCCGTTAAAAAACAGCGAAGAAGTGAATGTTTTTTAGAATTAAAAAAAAAAATTATGTCCCAAGTAAATACAGCACACCAACCACGTATCACAGTCGAAAATGAAGAAATAGAAAATGAAACAGATTTCGAATACTTGGGCACTTTAGTGGACAACAGTGGCGACTGCTCAAAGTAAATCAGAAGAAGACTTGCATTAGCAATGCAGAGATTAAATAGCATGAAGAACCTATGGCAAAGCCTTTTGTTCCTTGTAGAAGTCGCTGCATTCGATCTTAGCAAGAACGCATGAACTCCGTAGCTCCAGCAAGAATCAAGTTATCATTATCAAGTGCCTTGTTGACTGGCAATCATACCTCTCCCCTCCTTAGGGGCCGCCTTGGGGGGCTGCGTTAGCGCAGTCGATAGGAGACTTGCTTTCAAATCTAGCTGCAGCCCACGACCGGAGTTGTAATCCGGGCGGTTCCCGGGGTTCACCCAGCCTCTAGGTAATGGGTACTAGAGTTAACACTGTGGTAAATGGAGGAACGTCGCTGTAGCTACGGAGTTGCGTGCGGACGGCTACAAAGGCGGACAGTCTTTTATCACCTGTCCATACTGGTGGCAGAGCACTTATGGTTAATAACCGTGTGCAGTGACGCTGGTTCACATCTCCCGACTTTATCTGTACCTTTACCTCTCCACAGTCTAGGATTTTTAACTGCGTGTGTCAGTTCGTGTGTTGACATCCCTCCATGCCATGACAAAATGTTGTCAAGGATCGTCTCCCGCGGTCGTCCTGTTGCTCTATTCACAGATCTTCCTAGTAGTAAAAACAACACATCCCAGCTTTCTTCTTCTCATAGAAGGACCAGAAATGTAATGATTGCCTCTTCTAGCTCTCGCTTCTTTTAGAACATCAGGGTTGCTCTTTTTTGACTGTCGAGGGAATTTTACTGATGTTTCTGTAAAACCACGTCTCTGAAACCTCAAGAAATTGTTTAGGTTGTTCATTATTAGTCCATCTTTTACAGCCGTATGAAAAATCCGAATCTACATAGCATGCAAACATTCTTTTTCTAGCCCCCAATGCCACAGAAGTCGGATGTGTTGGCCGAAAGGTGCAAACATCGCAGCCATGCTGTAAACGGACACAACGCAGTTACATCTTCGGATGAACGCAGAAGAAGAAGAAGATGTTCTTCATTTTATAAAACGTTGATCTAGTTATAGAAATTTTTATTGTTGAGGTGGTTAGGTATTAGGTCTGTTGAAAAATGAAAAGAGTAATTCGATCGCATTCAAGCATTTAAGCTCATCTGAGCATTTGTTTAAAATTGCCATCTTTATTGTGCAGTTCTTGTTTGGATTAGGTGTCCTGTGATTCAATTATGCCTTGTTGTCAGACCAGGTTTATCTGATGGTGATCCTTTTTGTCTAGTGAAATCTTTTAACATTTCGGTGTTGGTTTGCAAAGAAGTAGGTATCCGCTGTACTTTCATATAGTGCAGATTGGTTGCGTTCCCGACAACGAGGGCTCCTTGTCAGGACACATCTGGTTTGAAGTAAGGTAAAGGTTAAGTCAAGAGATGTGAACCAGTGTCATTGCACACGGTTATAAACCATAAGTGCTCTGCCATCAGTACGGACAGCTGATAAGAAACCGCCCGCCTGTGTCGCCGTCCACACGAAACTCCGTAGCTACAGCGACGTTCCTCCATTTACCCCAGAGTGTTAACTCTGGTACCCATTTCCTAGAGGCTGGGTGAACCCCTGGAATCGCTCGGTTTCAAAAACCGGCCATGTGCTGCAGCCAGTCGCAGCTGGATTTAAAAGCGAGTCTCCTGTCGACTGCGCTAACGCAGTCCCGTTTGAAGTGAACGAATGAATTAGATTCGACCCCACTAGGACATCCACCAAGCGATAAACACCCGGTGACACAAAGTGCCACCATGCGGATGAGGATCGCCTGGGGAGAGGTCCCAGAAACCCTGTTCAACAGTTAGGTTTTATAGGGGGCCCCTGACTGGAAGTCTTCATAACAAACCGGTCACCCCATCTTTGCTCCGCTTCTGTGCCAACGAAAAACACACAGAATGTTTATCACAGTCCCTTGTGGCCCCCGACTAAACCCGGGTTGGGGCTCATGTTTGAAGTGTGTGTGCGCACTCTATTTCAGTAACGTAGCTTTCTGCGTGAACTTGCACTATGCAGCCGGAAGTATGATATTTTATCACGTATACACAAAAATGGTAGGCGAAGCCATCATGTAAATTAATCATCATTGTATCCTTTAAGGTTATTATTTATGTGTATTTACTTAGATTTAAAAAAAAAACATATAAGATAAAAGAGACTACAGTAAGAAAGAAATTAAAATGGTACATTAACGAAAACATGTTTCCTCTTTGTTTCGTGCATGCTACTACTACTACTTCTACTACATAACGAATACTACTACAAGTGATACTACTACTACTACTACTACTACTACTACTACTACTACTACTACTACTACTACTACTACTATTACTACTATTGGGTCAAAGTTTCCGAGCAGATTTCAGACTTGTGAAGGTCTCCTATCACTTTAGATCGTGAGTGCAGGGACTGGCCATTTGGAGAAGTTCAACAAATGATTCATGATAATTTCCGCCCAGGGGATACGATTACCAATTCAATTGGTTCTGTATTGAGGAGCAGGCGAAGTGTTTGTGGGATCATACAAATGGACTTCTCTTAGTGCAGCAAAGCCTGACATATGATATCACAACGTATAGTTTGAGAATGGAGGTGGAGGCAGTCACTTTTGGATATTTTTTTCAGGTTATGCTGGTGTGTTGGGAAATATTGTAATTCTTCTCAACCCACTCCCCTCCCCTCCCCCTCCCCTCCCCTCCCGACCTTTCATGACGTGTATAAGTCCTTCAAGATTTTTCTAGACTGTAAATATACTAGCTCGTTTCAACATCTTGCGTCATTCATTCTTCAGGTGCTGACTCCAGTCAAACGACAGCTTAGATAAGGACTTCTATCATGACAGTCTGCACTGTGTAACAACCCTCACCTTGAACCAACAATTAGTTTGTCGTCACAATCGGCGATTCAGATGCCTCTGCAAACTAAATGGAGGAAACGAAATTTTCCGTATGCAAAGCTATTTGCCTTTATCGCAGGTTTGTAACATGACTCATGTGTGTTGTCGAATCTAACCAAAAGGTAGACATCTCACTTAGTAGGGGTGATGACGCAAAGAAAACTCCGCCTGGCCCTTCCCCCTTTTCCTCCCCCTTTCCAATTTAAAAAAAAAATTTATAGAAAACGTGGCCCCTGAGGAAGAGGTAGCTGGGGGGGGGGGGGGGGGGGGGGGGGATTAAATGTGCCTAAGATGTTGTGTAACTACATTATGATAATAAGTATGTATTGATTGACAATATATATATATATATATATATATATAATGGAAACGACGTGATATGTGTACATAAAATAACTTTAAAAGACACAAAGATACCTTAAATACACTGTTAGTTATAAGCAGTTATCTTCGTGGCGCTTTGGACGGACACGTCCATGGGTGTTCAGGTTCCCCCTTCATCATTTACATTAGCTCGGATCAAAGTGGACGCTAGGCACAGCCACTGTTTCGAGCCGTGGAAAATTTTCTGCTTCTGCCAGACGGTGGCCGTTGCATTTTTGCTCCATTTGTAGACTGAAAGGATATAATTTTGTCGCCCAGCTTCTGAGCTGAGTGCATGGAACGACACTGTGAGCTGCAGATTTCATTTGGAATGTTTTTCGACTGTGACCAACGTAGTTCTGTGAACTGTAATTTCAGACAATGGCGTGATGCCTGTTGTCGCAAAATTGGTGGTTCATTATCTGATTCGCATGTGCAACTGCTGATCTGTCGGTGACTTCTTCTACCATCCATGATGAACTGCATTTCTAATGTCGGACTGTTTGTGTTAGAACTTTGGATGGCTACCGTATGCTTTTAATGCGTGTGTGTGCTAGAGATGCTGAGACAGAAGTCTTTCAATCTTTCCACAGGGGACTGTGATAAACATTATGTGTGTTTTTCGTTGGCACAGAAGCGGAGCAACTATGGGATGACCCGTTTGCTATGAAGCTGAAACTAAGATTACCAGATTACCAGCTTCATGCGGTGGTTCTGTTCTTTTCCTTCAAAATCCAGCCCAGTAACCCAAATGGAGATGTTGATAATGAAATACCTAAAATCTGTGAAGAAAAGAGTATCAGTCATTTATCTAATCCCAGCAGTTTGTATAAGCAGAGCTTTTTTTCTGGTAAACGCAACGGTACGCAGAACTGGCACCTCTGTTTCTACAAAGGAAAAAAAGCCATGAGTATAAGTTCAGACAGCACAGTACCCTTTTTACGCCAGTGGCCCACCTGGTATGTGATGCTAGGATAAAAAATTTTTACACCAGTCGGAATATATTTTTATACACAAATTAGATGCCCAGCTCCTAGCGTAGATGGTTAAAGCTGACTTCACGGTAACCGGGTGACGAACTCCTTGTAGTCCAGGCTCACTCCCAAGAGTAGGCAGAAAAGCCACATTTCTCCCAGATTTTCGGTACCTATCATGGATCAAGGCCGAAAGGGTTGCGATATCCATAGTACCGAGCCATGAGTTAAAAAAAAAAAATACACCAATCAGAATAGAGTGGGTGATATAGTAAGCATTATGCCCGCAGAATTTATCTCTTAGGACTTTGTGTGGGAGCTTCAAGACTTTCCCGTCACTGAAATCTGTATTATTATTTTCAATCAGGACGATGTAGGCCAGTTTATGTAATTGTCACTCGCATAGGAACGGATCAGTTATGGGCTGACCTGTTTGTAGTGAAACTGAAACCTCGACCAAAGACTAACTTCTTTCATTTATTCTGCAGGGTATCCGAGATGGTCTGCGTTTGTTGCCGTCATTGCCCTAGGATCCTGCATGTACGTTCTAATCAGCTTTACATTCTCACGATTTGACCATTATAAAGATGTGCCTTCACCGCCGCACTCCAGGATCCGTTTGGCGGTTCTAAGAGACACAACCTACAGCATCGTCGACCAACAACCACCAGCTGACCTCGGCTATTCATTCTTTGCGTTGAACTCTCATTATAATTTATCATTTGCATATTATAAAAACTGGGTCGGCTTTCCAGATTTCCAGACTGTGAATTGCCAGAAGCCTCTGAAGTACCCAACCTTAAACAGACAATACCCGACCAGGGTCAACAGAAAATATCCAACAGATTTTACTGCCGAGGCAAAAGACTGTCAAGCATTTATTAACAACCATGGCTTCTCCCGGTACCCTCAAGTTTCGCAAGAAGAGTTGGATTTTCCTTTGGCATTCATTTTGCTGTTTCATGCAGATATAGATCAGGTAGTTCAGTTGTTGTTGGGGTGGTGGTGGTAGTGGTGTTTACCGTCTTGAAATGGTCTGTCCCCCCCCCCCCCCCGTAGCTTATGGGTGTTGCAAAAGCAGTTTGTAATCCTGAACAACCCGGTTCGATTTAGATCCAGGCGATGTGGCAAAAGCCAGCCTTGCATTGATTTTGACAACGAAGCATAAAGCACTGGCAAACTAACGAACGTTACATTATTTAGTAATATTAAAAACCGTCAATAAACGATGTCTGTTTGCAACGTCCTAAAAACGTATGTGTGTTTATTCGTAGAATTTTATTTCTATTTTGGGGGTGGCGGGGAAGGCTTGGTGGGGAGGGGGGGTTTTTGGACGGCATCCTTCATTAGATGAGTGAAATAATTGTAGAAGTTCCTAGGATCGTCGCGGGAGCTACTGATATCGTGCTTGTAGCGACGCTTTTCCTATGTGTCTAGCTTTTCTGTGGAGAGAGACTAAACCGCATGGGATAAAAACTGAGTGCCATGAAGCCGATCCTCTGGCTTTAAGCTGTTATAATCTTATAACAGTCGGCGTCTGTACCTTACGCGTTGCATTCGATCCCAGCTGCGGGCCTTGCGCCTTGCGGTTGTTTCGACAGTGGTAAAGAGAAGCCGACTGTCCAGAGAGCAACGGCAAACTGCTGGATGTAAACTTGCCACGAAAAACCACAACTGCCAAAAAAAAGTGTTGTTCTGCAACTTCCTGTAAAGAATACACAACTAATTTTTTAAATCGTATAATATAGACTAGCATGATATACTTTATACCTTTTATAGCGTTAAAAAGTAGACCTTCACTCTATTTATAGCTCGAAGAGGCTAGAAGTCTAATTCGGGAGGGGAGGGAGGAGGGTTGAGTAGAGGCTCTGGGAGATATTCAACACTGAAGTTGGAATTTTAGGTGGACTTTTGATCAGGTTACAACTCGTACTATTAGCATGTCGACTCCTCGTTGGGTTCTGAAGAAAGGGATGAAGCACGTGTGGTAATGTCCCGGTTGCAGTGATGTCTCTTGATTCATTCATTCATTCATTCATTCATTCATTCATTCATTCATTCGTTCGTAGAAGTTTCAATGAAATAAACTATAATACGAGCATATGTCATTATTTCATTCTTCTGTTACATGAATGATTTTACACTATTTCAGGTTGTTTTCCTGCTCCGTGCAATCTACCGTCCGCATAATGTCTATTGCCTGTTTGTGGACACCAAATCTAGTGTGGATTTCTTAGAAGCTACAAGGTATGGAGGAGCCGCATGTCAAGGTGGCCAGTATTATGATTTTAAATAACTGGTATTTTCGATGTTTACACAAGTTATTATATTTTTTTCCAACAGAAACATGGCCGTCTGACTGCTTGCTAGACCAGAGCTAGACCAGAAGGGAATTTATTCCTTAATGCTTACGATTGTCCACTTCATGTGAAGTGCTGCTTCTATAATCAGTTTAGACTACACAATCAGTTTAGACTAATGATTCAATGGTTTCAGTCGTGAGAATTCACTTATAATAATACACTGCAAATAACACAGACATAAAATACATAATAATAACAAGATCTTACAAAAACTTATTCTAAACTGAAGACAATTTTTTTTCAGATTATAGCGACAACTGTGTAATCGGTAATTGTGTATGTGTATGTGTGTGTGCATGCGTGCGTGCGTGCGTGGGTGCGTGCGTGCGCGTGCGTGCGCGCGTGCATGCGCGCGCGCGCGCCCGTGAAAATCAATTAAAGTGTCCCTTACAGTCGCATTAGAAAAAAAGGTGAGCAAGCAATTAGTCCCGGCACGTTCAGAAATACAATACGGGGTTGGTGGAAGTAGTCGATCAAGATGTGTTGGCTATACAAACACACGTAAAATTATTACATAAGGTATTTCACTAGCCCATACGTAAACCGACTACTGGTCATATTAAATACCACAACTCAACCACTGCACAACTGATAGGCATTTCACATGAAAATCCCAGCTCACAGTTCTGCACCAAGCACTAAACCCAGTAGCTCAGGCAGCGAAACCGTTGACCTCCGTCCGTTTGTGGAAACTACATTAGCAAAGCACTGTCGGAAGCAAAAATAACTTTTAAGCCAAACATTTTGCCTTGCCTAGTCCTCCATATTGGACCGGAAGTCCATCTTTAGTTCCTCTCTCAGCGTGTGATGAATGATAACACCAGTTCTGTGTTGGTTTACTATTCATCTTTAGCTACATGTATATTGTTCCAGTCTGGCGACACCTCTTTTGACATGAATTTCTTGAAGTTTTGTCAATGATGCCAAGTCACCGTCATCTCGTGAATCATCGTTCTTCTTGTCCTCCCTCCCTGAGAGCATTGCCAGCATCGGCTTGGTCAATTGCCATTCCTGTGCCTACCCTTGCCAGTATCGATGTGCGATGAAGATGGTCTTTAAAAGAACTATGAACAGGTGTGCTATACTTATTAAATTTAAAGACCAGCTGGTACTCGATGGAGGTAATACAACGCCCTCGGTATAGAGGTTCTAGCGCATGTATGTTCAACTATTTCAGATCAATTGCAATGATGTAGGTAATACAACGCCCTCGGTATAGAAGTTCTAGCGTATGTATGTTCCACTATTTCAGATCAATTGCAATGATGTAGGTAACATCAAGTCCGCAATATAGAAGTTCTAGCGCCTATATGTTCCACTGTTTCAGATCCATTGCAAATTATGTAGATAATATCACCCTCTCAGTATAAAAGTTCTAGCGCCTATATGTTCCACTATTTCAGATCAGTTGCAAGGTGCCTTCCAAACGTGTTCATCAGCAGCAAACTAGAGAGCATCGTCTACGCTGGTTACTCACGTCTGATGGCGGACATTCACTGTTTAAGGGATCTGATCAACCACCGTGTCAAATGGAAGTATGTCATCAACAGCCCGGGACAGGCTTTCCCACTTCGGTGAGTCCAAGTTAAAGTTGTGTGTCCTTTACAGGAGGTTACAGCCAGCGTGTTCTAGCGGCTAGACACTCGCCTGCGGATCGGAAGGTCGCGGGTTCGTATCCTAACGGAAGCCAGTTTTTTTTTTTTTTTTTTTTTTTTTTTCAAAAATAATCTTTGCTCCCAGTTCTACCCAGCCTTGACTGAGTACCAGATACAGTCCTGAGAAGTAAAAGCGGCCGACGTAATGCTGGCCACATCACCCACCCAGTGCCCTTTGGTCTTTAAAAAATATAGGTCTCGCACTATACACCTGACGGCATGGAAAAGAGTTTTTTTTACTTTTACAGCAGGTTGTGGAGCCAAACCTAGCATTTTTCTAAAACTAGATTACGTTAAATGGTTTGTCATTGCTTACTGAGCAGTTGGGGCACCAAACCACTGAGACTAACCAAACGCGGTCTGCTGCTAATTTTCAAGCATCCGTGTAATTTATAATTACTAGTCGCGTTCGCAATGTCCAAGCCCTAGACGCCGACTCGGTAAGTCACTGTTATTATATAAACGGTGCGAAGATTCACAAATTCTGTCCCCTCTTGGACATTAGGATAAATCAGGTATGAACTTGGTGTAGACGTTTTGGGTACCCTAATTTGATTACCACCCGGGACGCGACTATTTCAATCCTAGGGCTGGTGAAATCTTCAGGTACAACCGCGAAGGAAACAAAACTAGAGACACTGATTAATTCAGCAAGAGATATGCTGTTGGTTACTGAGCTCTAACGTTGCTAAAGAAATCTGAAATTAAACTGCATTATTTGTATACCCATTGTCCCAGGATATGCTAGTGTGAAAGGCAATGAGAGAGCAGACGCTCTGGCTGGCCAGAGACTATTGGGAGTGGGTCCTCTATGGACAGGATCTCATCAATGCCATTCGAGAGACGAAATGCTGTGAGACTTTCGGTTTCGTGGAAAATAATTTTTTTTTAAAATATTTTTACTGAATAGGCTGCATACCCTAGGTGTATCAGTTAGAGCCGCATGGCAGTAAAACCATGTGGGAGCCAGCCGTCGTTACATGAATCGGAACAGAACGGGAGCTGTTAGCCTAAAGACACACGGAGACGCACTCAGGGGGAGATCGGAGCACTTATGGTCATGTCTGGTGTGCGACGAAGAACAATTATTTGTAAACAATTTCCTAGTATACTTGTTCCTGCGGCGAGGCACTACCGTCATTTGGGGTTTGATGTTCTGGGGTTCTGTGAGGTCACAGGGCAGCAGTGAGCTATGGAAATTTTTACAAAGTGGAAAAGCAACAAAAATTGTATTAATTAAATTATACTAAAAAAAATTATTTGCTATATGTTTTTAAATATCCTAATAAAAAGCATGTTTGTAATTAATATAGGGATAGTGGGTCACTTTGCATCTTTAACATTGTCGACCTGACAAAATTTAAAAAAACAGAAATGCAACTCACAATATACTATTTACAGCATGTGGATATGTGTGCGTACACACAAACTACCTCGTCATTGGTACTGAAGTACGCCAGGAAGCATCGGATCTCTGACCCTAAAACAATACATGAAATGAAATAAAAGATATCCCCGTGTGGGTTCCGAGGCCACATTGCGGACTAAACAAGAACAGACCCACTGCCTGCTCTACAAGAATGTCGTAGTAGTCGACTAATTAGGGTTATCCTTCGAAGTCGGAGTTTGTCTGCCTGAGCGGCAAAGAACTAATAGCCTGACTACAAATAAGCCAGATATGTAGAACGGATTCTTTACGTCCTTATTAGGACGTAATTTTTTGTTATTTGAAGCCCCACTCTGGCTTTTGCCAGAGGCCGCAATATAGGCAGGCCATAAATATGGCCAATTGTCTGAACGCGGTTTCTGGGACCTCTCCACGGCGATCCTCATCCACATGGTGGCACTTTGTGTCATCGGGTTTTTATCGCTTGTGTGATGTCTTAGTGGGGTAGAAAGTCAGTCAGTCAGAACGGATGTACAAGCAACACTCTGTTTCTAGAACAAGACTAAGGTACGGAGGTGGACGAACATTTAGAACTTTCCAACGGAGTGAACAACCGGTAATCGCGAAGAAGAAGAAGAAGAAGAAGAAGAAGAAGAAGAAGAAGAAGAAGAAGAAGAAGAAGAAGAAGAAGAAGAACAACAACAACAACAACAACAACAACAACAACAACAACAACAACAACAGCAACAACAACAACAACAGAATGAAGAAAGAAAGAAAGAAAGAAAGAAAGAAAGAAAGAAAGAAAGAAAGAAAGAAAGAAAGAAAGAAAGAAAGAAAGAAAGAAAGAAAGAAAGAAAGAAAGAAAGAAAGAAAGAAAGAAAGAAAGAAAGAAAGAAAGAAAGAAAGAAAGAAAGAAAGAAAGAAAGAAAGAAAGAAAGAAAGAAAGAAAGAAAGAAAGAAAGAAAGAAAGAAAGAAAGAAAGAAAGAAGGAAAGAAAGAAAGAAAAAAAGAAAGAAATAAAGAAAGAAAGAACAGACTGGTTAGAAAACATTTGAAGCAATACAGAACAGCTGGTTTCATAACACGCTTATGAGGAAAATGAAACCCAAGTAAAAGCAGCCATTAGAAATCACTGGAACACTTCCCAGCCAGAACACAATCCTAAAGACCTTATCAACATTCTCACGGGAAAGAAATGGACCATTGCATTATGAACTGGACAATAGACCCCCCTCCCACCCCCCCCCCCCCCCCCCAACCCTATGAAATGTCTAGTTGGCGACTACGCAACGACCTCGCTATGAAGGGCTGCTCTATATTTATCAAAGGTGATGTTCATTTCTGTTATTGTTTATTGATCATTTTGTGAAAGAACAACACATCAAATCAGCCGCCACTCATTAGAAAATCGTTTCATCAACAGTGTTGGCGTTCATAGTCCTGAAGGGATTGATATTCAACACAGCATAATTTAATTTCATTAATTTACTTGTAATTTTTTTTTCACTTATTCATATGTCTCTCCCTCTTTTCACATGCGCCTTGTTACTTATTTCATTTCCTATTATAGCCTTTCATATTAATACCACCTCTCCCCCATCCCCCAACCCCCCCGTCCATAACGTACTTTCGGGTTTCATGAAGATCTTAGTTTTTATTAGCTCTGTTGTCTTGTCCGTTGAGTTTTCCACTCACAGTTTGTGCTATATTTAGTAATCCGTTGATGAAGACTTTGTTCGAAACGTTCGGTTGTATTTGTGTGCGTCTTTTCCATTCCTTCCGTTGAGCTTTCTATTTACATTTTTTTTTCTATAGTTAGCATTTCTTGCAATCAGCTCGACTACAGTCACCCCATGTTTACGTCACTACAGGGAGTCTCTGTGGCTAAATAGTCAAGCTGTTTATCCATTCAGTTTCACGAGTGCAGTTTTTACGGAGATCCGCTGGGATCGTCGCCGGAGCTACAAAGGTCGTACTCTGTACGACGCTTTCGGTGGGCAGCTAGCTTTTCTGTGGATAGAGACTGAGCCATGTGGGGGAAAAACCGGTGCAACGAAGTCGATCCTCTCACCTTTACCTTCACTGTTTATTTCTTTATAAGGGATTTGATAAGCTCGTTTCAAATGCTACATTTCCTAATTTTCTCTGAACTCTGACAGAACCAATCTGGAGATGGTGAAAATTCTGAAAGTGTTCAACGGAACTAACGACATAGAATCTAATCCTGGAAGTGGCAGACTAGATCACCGTTACACTTATAGGTTTGAATACATTAGGAACCAAACAAATGGTAGGTGTACGTGTCAGAAGTGTTAACTGTCATTTGAGTGGATAGATTTTAGCCAGAAGTTAGCTGTGCAAGGCACATTTTATTATAGTTCTGGGTTATTGTTGTCAGTTAATTATGGGTAGGCCTAACTATTCTTATATGCTAGATAATATACATGGGGCTATTGAGACAACAGATCAAATGGTTCGGACATGTTTCAGGATTACCACCAGAAAGTGCACCTCAGCGAGCCCTGTCACTTAGGCGTAATGGAAGCAGACCTAGAGGTCTACCACGCACGCCATGGATAGAGAGAATATACAAAGCTGCAAATACCAGCATCTATGTAGCACAGGCCTAGACTCGCATGCGATGCCTCTTCAAAACCTGACGCTGAAAGATAGAACATGATTAGAGAAGTTGCAGAAGTAGAAGGAGAAGAAAAAAAGAAGAAGAAGAAGAAGAAGAAGAAGAAGAAGAAGAAGAAGAAGAAGAAGAAGAAGAAGAAGAAGAAGAAGAAGAAGAAGAAGGCAAGCCTCTAGCGGCTGCACCACAGCGGTTTCAAATGCAGATTTAGCTGTGCTTATTAACATTTCGGTGTTTCCTCGTTTCTGTCCAGGAGATGTGATTTTGAACAAGACAACTGTAACGCATTCGCCTCCTCCACATAAACTAGAGATTGTCAAGTGCAGTGTGTACGCCTGCTTGTCAAGAGCTTTCGTCGAGTTTATCTTGACAAGCCGGATCGCCAAGGACTTGCTGGAATGGGCAAAACCAGTGTTCAGTCCTGATGAGTTGTACTGGGCGACGCTCAACTTCAACACAATCGTGCCCGCACCAGGAGGGTTCAGAGGTGAACCAGCGGTTGTTGTTGTAGTCAGTCACTTCTGTTGTACTTTTACTAAACTATCAGTAGGCATTATTATAAAGTGTAGTAAACTTTTGTCGGCCCTGTGGCTAAGTCGATGCGAACGCTTCGTAATACCCAAAAATAACAATAAATGATGAAGAAATTGAAAATGTCACAAACTTTGAATATCTAGGCTCTATAATAAACAACAATGGAGACTGTTCGACAGAAATTAAAAGGAGGATGGCCATAGCAATGCAAAGATTGAACAGCCTTAAAAGTCTATGGTTATGAACCAGCAAGGAGAACTGGCGAGAAACCGGGTTTATTTCAGGCATGTGATGAGAACGATGTTCTGCAAAGGACCTGCTACATGATGATGATGTATGCATTATTTCATTATATTTCGGTATATTTTTTATGTAGACAACATGCGTTATTAAAAACATAATATGCATTATTAAAATATGCAATGGTGGTCTGAAAGATTATTGTTTAAAAGGGTCGAATGTAAGACAGGCTTGAATGCCCAATTTGTAACCTTTTGAAAATAAAGCTCGTTCGTTCTTGGTTCGTTTTGGGCTGAAAGACGCAGATAACTCAGCCTAAATGTGATTGACTGACTGACTGACTTTCTACCCCACCAGGACATCACACAAGCGATAAACACCCGATGACACAATGTGCCACCATGTGGATGAGGATCACCGTGGAGAGGTCCCAGAAACCGCGTTCAGACAATTGGCCATATTTATGGCCTGCCTATATTGCGGCCCCTGGCAAGAGCCAGAGTAGGGCTTCAAATAACAAAAAATGTCGTCCTTATAAGGACGAGAAGTATAATTACTCGGTAAAAATGTGATTCACAGCCGCCCTTTTATCAGCGTGGGCAATAAATTAAGTTATGGTGCATTTCAAAACTCATACCCTCAGACTAACAAATATCTCAGAAATTCATACACATGCCGTGATTGTAAAGGCCTCACAGAGCATGCTGAGAAATGGTGAAAACAGGCATGCTTCCTGCAGAGTGGCAAGCATCAATTCCAGAGGTCCCGGGTAGTTAGCATCCTTTGGATATTTTCTCCAGGCAGATAGGCTTGCTGGCTCTGCACCACTTGGTGATGAACTGTTGTATGACAAGTTAGATATTGTGAGAGCCCTTTGGGAGCGAGTGAACAGTGCGGAGGCGCAGACAAAACAATACGGTCTAAGGAGAATGGCGCTGCAAGGAGTTACCATGGATCTCGCTGACTCTCAAAACAATCAAAGGAAAGATGAGACGGATATACAATCAGACGGTTATTGGTACCACTGGAACGGGAACTCTTCGCTTGCTGCCGAAGATGGGGACTAAGCACTTATGGGAGTGTCCTGAGTGCTGTGATGCCGATTCCTAGTTCAATATTAAACATTCAAAAACTCATGTACGAATCAACACGAATATTTGCATGTAGCCTTACATTTCTCATGTCCTTATGATTCTATAATTTACTATTGCGCAGACGCTGCTGTTTTTTTAAAGCGGTGCATTTCTTTGATCTTTGCTGGACTAATAATTTATGCATCCCTGCAAAACAGAATATACAATAATCTACACACGTGTTGAGATTGTTTGGAAATCATTGTTTAGAAATCATTGTTTGGAAATCAGTTCACATGTGCAGCGATAGGTGGTAATTATTTTGATAGCCTATTCCCCTGCTCTATGAAAAATCTACAGTTCATGCAAATGACCACCAAAGCACTTTATGCTGAAATGTTCCCCTGACTGAATTTACTCAAGTTACTGTAAGCATGCTGATTGTTTGCTTTGAGTGGGTATATTTTTATATACCACAAATAAGGCAAAATGAAAACTATGAGTTTGTTTGCCTTTTTTAAAAGAAATCCCTACAAGGATATGATTATTACCGGGCCACATGCTAAATTTTAATAACTTACACTGAATGGTTAGGGAGTTACAGATTTGTGAAGTTGGGCAGAACTTTTGGAACGAACTTTAATGTTTACTGTGTCTTTTTGGGCGAACTGGTTATCTAGTAAGATGAGTGATGGTTAATTGATTCATAGCTAGTTACTTGACGTTTGGCTGATATGTTGGTTGGTTGGTTCGTTCGTACGTTTTTTTTTTTTTTTAATTTCCTTTGATGATTGATTGTTTGGTTGTCAAGATGATTGGTTGGTTGCTTATTTAGTTGGTTAGTTGACTGGTTGGGTACTTAGTTTATTAACTGGTTGGTTGGTTGGCTACTAAGGTGGAAAGTTTATTAAGGGGTTGTTTATTTGATTCTTGGGTTTATAAATAGTTACATGTCTGATTCATTTTAAGGAAATCAAAATTAAAACTTTGAGAGCATCCATCTTCCCTGTAGCAACATATGGACGTTAGTCGTGGACTATCTTCATGCAGCAACATATAGATGTGAGTCGTGGACTATCTCTCCTGTAGCAACATATGGATGTGAGTCGTGGACTATCTCTCCTGTAGCAACATATGGATGTGAGTCGTAGACTATCTCCCCTGTAGTAACATATGGATGTGAGTCGTAGACTATCTCCCCTGTAGCAACATATGGATCTAAACTTTAAAGAGGATTGGCTAATATGCAGCATCTTGTCTCGGAAGCTGAAATATTTTGTTTATATCAAGCGCCATAGCTGACTAGAAAAAAATATAGCAGAAGGCATGGTGTCAAGAAAACAGGACCGGGGCCGGCCAACACGAAGATGTGCACAGGTAATAAATGACTCCTTGAATTTGAATATACACGAGGCGAGAGAGCTGGCGAGAGACCGAGTCTCTTTCAGGCAGACTGTGATGGGAGCGACGTTCTGCAAAGAACCTGCTACATGATCTCATTAGCTATTTTTTCAAGTATTTTTTAATGATTTTTTTTTTAATTTTTTTAGTTTGTTGGTTTACTTTGTATTTCATTGGCATATTGATTGGTTCATATATATATATATATATATATATATATATATATATATATATATATATATATATATATATATATATATATATATATACACCAATTAATATATATTTATATATATATATAAACGTATGAGACAAATAATCACTGTCGTTTCACAGGTGTACCAAAAAACAGAACCTGGTTGGCCAGCTACTCACTGTGGGAAGGGGACAAACGGGCACAGTGTGTCACCAAGTATGTACGAGGAATCTGTATATTCACGCCAGGCGACCTTCCTAACCTGATGAAACAGCGCGAACTGTTTGCTAACAAATTTCACATAGACCACCATCCTGTGGCACTGCATTGCTTAGACCAGCTCATTTACAACTTGACTTTCTCAAGAGCTGTTCGCGATATGGACTACTATGAAAGCCAGCACTTAGCGTCTCCGCGGATGAGGCGGCATTAACTAGACTGAGATATCATTGTATAATCCACTAAAGCGACCATTTTTTACCAATAAATTAACAGTGCGTTTACTGTGTACTTGGCTCCTGATTACTTACCTGAACCTCTTGCGTCTTAAGTAAGTAAGTAAAAACCCTTTTCCACGCCTTTAGGCATATAGGGCATATAGGGCTAGACCTATATTTTTATAGACCCATCAGCACAATATGGATAATGTGGTCAGCATCACACCGGCCGCCTCTACTTCCCGGGACTGCACCTGGTACCCACTCAAGGCTGGGTCGACCTCGGAGCTAAGGTCATTTTTGAAACAAAGTCTGGCTCTGCAGGGAGCGAACCCACGACCTTCCGACCTGGCTGCTCTGCCACGGCGACTCCCCTCTTGCGTTTTAAAGAGTTATTATGTTCACCGTTTCCGTTTCTTCTTCTTCCTCTTCTTCTTCTTCTTCTTCTTCTTCTTCTTCTTCTTCTTCTTCTTCTTCTTCTTCTTCTTCTTCTTCTTCTTCCTCTTCTTCTTCCTCTTCTTCTTCTTCTTCTTCTTCTTCCTCTTCTTCTTCTTCTTCTTCTTCTTTTTCTTCTTCTTCTTCTTCTTCTTCTTCTTTTTTTCTTCTTTTTCTTCCTCTTCTTCTTCTCCTTCTTCTCTTCTTCTTCTTCTTCTTCTTCTTCTTCTTCTTCTTCTTCTTCTTTTTCTTCCTCTTCTTCTTCGTCTTCTTCTTCTTCTTCTTCTTTTTCTTCTTCTTCTAACTCTTCCACCTATCCTGTTTAATTATTTGTTTTCCTCTTTCTCCCATTCTTTCCTTGTTCCTGTTATGTCTTTCATAAGCCTTCAGATAACTTATACCATGTGCCTTGAAGCTTTCTTCATGATAGCTAGATTTTAAAGGGGGAAAAAAACATGTAGGATTTAAAACCCAACCCTCCTTGGTCGCCTTATAACCCAGAACATGGCACGTTCCTAACTATGTGCTGTCTGCAAAACAAATGTTGCAAACGGTGTACTCACTGTTGTTACCTTTGGGGATGTTACTTGAGGACCAAATCCCCTTCCGCTGTCTGAAAAGCACAAAAAATTTTTTTTTTAATGAACTACTTGCTGCGTAAATCGAACGCTTGTACTCGAGGATTATGACACAACGCATTTACTAAGCCACAGAGCCTCATACAGCAAGGTTAAAGTGTAGCTATTCCTCGCTTTCCTACTGAACGTCAGTACGATATAGGCTCTTTTTATGTTTTATTTATTTGCCTTGCCCGGCTCGCTAGCGTAGTTGGCTTGACGGGATTGCACGGTGACCGGGTGACGAACTCCTTGTGGTCCGGGTTCACTCCCGGCGGTAGGCAGAAAAGCCACATTTCTCCAAGATGTACGGTAATTATCATGGAATCAAGGCCGAATGGTTGCGATATCCATATCCATAATACCGAGCCTAAACACATGGCTTCTGGATACTAAAAATAAATCTACTAATCTAGACCACTTTGAAGTGTGTGCGGTGCCTGGCCCTACGGCCAGTAGGTTTGGGATCGGCTAGTCTTTCTCGAGAGAGAAAGAGAGGCGAAAAGCAAAAATAAATAGCCTGCTGATGACCTTAAAACCACACAGTCCAACCACGACCGGCTCCAACTAAAGCCGGTCTTGGTCCAACTCACCTCTAAGTGGTCTAGATTAGGAAACTATAGCCAATAGGCCATAGTATGCCTGGTCGGTTTGAGTGCGTTTTTGTGTGTGGGGAGGGGGTTGTGTCTTCAACCTGCGACTGACCCAGCAAGCCGGCAGGGGATTACTTTCACTGCTCAAAGAAACAGAACGAAGTATAAACGGACTGATTTGCTATTGGGACAGCAATCATGGAACGAGATCATGATCGGAGAATTGTCATTTAGTAGGAAGAATGAAATAAATACATACATATAACCACAGCAAAGAAAGTAAGAAAGAAAGAAAGAAAGAAAGAAAGAAAGAAAGAAAGAAAGAAAGAAAGAAAGAAAGAAAGAAAGAAAGAAAGAAAGAAAGAAAGAAAGAAAAAAGAAAGAAAGAAAGAAAGAAAGAAAGAAAGAAAGAAAGAAAGAAAGAAAGAAAGAAAGAAAGAAAGAAAGAAAGAAAGAAAGAAAGAAAGAAAGAAAGAAAGAAATAAATAAAGAAAGAAAGAAAGAAAGAAAGAAAGAAAGGAAGAAAGAAAGAAAGAAAGAAAGAAAGAAAGAAAGAAGAAAGAAAGAAAGAAAGAAAGAAAGAAGAAAAAGGAAAGAAAAAAAAGAAAGAAAGAAAGTGAGATAAGAAAAGGACAAAGAAATAAAGAATTAAGTATGTTATTACACCAAAAATAAAAGAAACAGCACAAAAGCGAACAAAGGGAGAATGACAGAAAAAAAGAAAGAACGAAAGAAAGATAAGAGAAGGAAAGGAAGAAATAAAGAATTGAGTAAGTTAATATATCCAAAAAAAAAGAAACAACGCAAGAACGAACATAGCAAGAAAAAAAGAAAGAAAGAAAGAAAGAAAGAAAGAAAGAAAGAAAGAAAGAAAGAAAGAAAGAAAGAAAGAAAGAAAGAAAGAAAGAAAGAAAGAAAAGAAGAAAGAAAGAAACAAAGAAAGAAAGAAAGAAAGAAAGAAAGAAAGAAAAGAAAGAAAGAAAGAAAGAAAGAAAGAAAGAAAGAAAGAAAGAAAGAAAGAAAGAAAGAAAGAAAGAAAGAAAGAAAGAAAGAAAGAAAGAAAGAAAGAAAGAAAGAAAGAAAGAAAGAAAGAAAGTGAGATAGGAAAAGGACAGGAAGAAATAAAGAATTCAGTATGTTATTACACCAAAAATGAAAGAAACAAAGCGAGAAAGAAAGAAAAAGAAAGAACAAAAGAAAGATAAGAGAAGGAACGGAAGAAATCAAGAATTCAGCAAGTTAATACATAAAAAATGAAAGAAACAACACAAGAACCTAGCGAGAAAGAAAGAAAGAAAGAAAGAAAGAAAGAAAGAAAGAAAGAAAGAAAGAAAGAAAGAAAGAAAGAAAGAAAGAAAGATAGAAAGAAAGAAAGCAAGAAATGGACAGGAAGAAATAAAGAATTCAGTAAGTAAATACATCAAAAATAAAAGAAACAACACAAGAACGAATATAGCAAGAAAGAAAGAAAGAAAGAAATGGACAGGAAGAAATAAATAATTCAGTAAGTTAATACATAAAAAAAATGAAAGAAAACAAGAACGAACATAGCGAGAAAGAAAGAAAGCCAGAAAGAAAGAAAGAAAGAAAGCCAGAAAGAAAGAAAGAAAGAAAGAAAGAAAGAAAGAAAGAAAGAAAGAAAGAAAGAAAGAAAGAAAGAAAGAAAGAAAGAAAGAAAGAAAGAAAAAATGGACAGGAAGAAATAAAGAATTCAGTAAGGTAATACATCAAAAATGAAAGAAACAACACACGAAGGAACATAGTGAGAAAGAAAGATAGACAGAAAGAAGGAAAGAAAGAAAGAAAGAAAGAAAGAAAGAAAGAAAGAAAGAAAGAAAGAAAGAAAGAAAGAAAGAAAGAAAGAAAGAAAGAAAGAAAGAAACTAGTCAACTTATTTTTTTTTAAACTAAAAACAAGTAACAAATAGATACTAGTAGTTAAGGAAGTTTATTTCTTAACTACAGCACATGGAATCTTCACCACAAACATGCCAGTCCTAACCAAGGCACTGACATGTAGGGCAACCATGCGCATCCAGCACTCGACCTCTGTGGCAGGTGCCTGGACAGACCTGCCCGCACAGTGGCTTGGGGTTACACCGACACAGCTCACAACCATTGTGGTCTCGGACCCGCCCGTACTGACACGTCAGCCCACATGAATGCCACCCACACGGAGAAGAAGATGTCTGGCATTGACAGGTGTCACAATTGTTGGCATCTTTGGCGTAGCCCTGAGGACAGTGCTGGCTACATCTGACATGATGGTTGCAGACAGTAGGCTGTGGCTTACATCTACAAGCTGTACAGCCTTTCTCGTCGATGTAGGTTTCAGTGCCCGCGCGGCAAATTCTAGGGCATCTGCTCCTGAAGCAGCGGTCCAGACACTTGCAAGTGGGGCAACCGTTGGCGTCTCTTTGGTATTCTTTGCAGGGAAATGGGCCGGTGACGCATTTCAACAGAGGACATCTAACAACGCACTGGCACCTGGTCGAGTCCTGAACATGGCCGTAGGGACACTGCTTTGCACAGTCGCTGACATAACCTGAGTGTGATAAATAATTAATAAACAGAGCAGAAAATTGCAAAACTGGTATCATGTTTTTCTTTATTTTCTCCAGTTATATCAATAATTTTTTAAGAGATTATATATTATAAGGATCTTTAGTGTACTGTTTCCAGTGTATTGTATAAGTGGGTCTTCATGTATTTAAGGCTGTTTTCTTTGTGCTCTTGTTCGATCTTCCCTTCTCTATGTCCATTCCATTTTTTCTTCTTCAGCTTGGCTGTCTGTGGCGGTTGGTAGCAGAGAATTCTCGTCAGATGGTCGAACTAGCTAAACTGTTTCTCTTTAAACAATAAACCGTAGGAATGGTTTCAGTCATAGTCTTCAACTAATGTCTTAATTTTTAATTGTCTATCTACTTGATATTCCGGTAGCTCTTTTGAGATATTGCAACGCTGTTATGAATTTTCGCTGACTGACTGACATACTGACTTTCTACCCCACCAGTACATCACACAAGCGATTAACACCCGATGACAAAAAGTGCCAGAGAGAGGTCCCAGAAACCGCGTTCAGCCATTAGACCATATTTATAGCCGGTCTATATTGCGGCCCCTGGCATGAGCCAGAATAGAGCTTCAAATAACGAAAAATTGCATCCTAAAAAGGACGGCCAGACTGATTATGCGCTGATTAGTTTTTAGTAAGGGTCCTGTTTGACACTGGCAGCACTAGGTTGGCTAGAAAGAAAAGTTATTAGATTTGGCTTGGTATTTAAAAAAAAAGTATGCCAGTACATGGTTTGCTTTTAGCACGTGATGTGTTGATTTTTCCGTCTGTGAATGCTGATCCTATATGTTTGCATTCACTTGTTTGTTTCATCTCTGTGTCATTTAATTTTATTTGTATTTTTTAACATTAGTATTTTAAATCTCTTTTCAACTCCTGTAGCGTATTGGGAATATATGGCTAGACCTAAATTTTTAAAGACCAATTGGCACTTTGTGGGTGATGTGGTCAGCACCAAGCTGGACGCCTTAACTTCCTAGGACTTCACCTGGTACCCACTTAAGGCTGGGTCAACCTGGGAGTCAAGGTCATTTTTGACAAAAGTCCGGCTCCTTCAGGATGCGAACTTACGACCTTCCGATCCACAGCAGGACGTCTTGCCGCCAATACCACAGCGACTCCCTTAACATTAGTATAGGCGTGGGAAATAAATATGTTTATAAATGGATAATGATTAATAAACATATAAGATACTGTAAAAGAGATACATATAATAGTCTTCCAAATGACTCCTTTCAACTAAAATATTCAAACCACCTCTGCTTTTCGCTCATTTCTTTCTCAAGTGTGTCGTTTCATTTTCCTCGTCTCTTCTCAATCTTTGTAGTTTATCGAACTAAAAAAAATGGTGCCAGGCCCATGATTTTACTGACAAATCTTGTCTCTATTACCCGACACCATGTCCTCTGTGTGATGAGATTAATATTACGTTTCCAGCCTTTACTTCCCAAGATTTTTCGCAAGATATTTAGTCTGGGCTGACCTGTTAGCCAATGTCAGTATTTTAAAAACAAATCGATCCCGGCCCTCATTCTGATCCAGTACTTCTGGACCGATTTGCAAACACTAACAACTGCGCTACTGTCGATCTGTTAGCGAAGCAAATGCTTTTTTTTTTTTTTATCAATTGCGGTGAGGGAATCCCCGTGGCTGAGGGGTTAGAGGCTCGCCGCGGATTGGAAGGTCGTAGGTTCGCCCCCTGGAAAAGCCGAACATTTTGCAAAAATGACCTTGGCTCCCAGGTCAACCCAGCCTTGAGTGGGTACCGGGTGCAGTCCCGGGAAGTAGAGGCGGCCGGCGTGATGATGATCTCATCACCCATCTTGTGCCGATTGGTCTATTAAAATAGAGGTCTAGCCCTATATGTCCTATACGCCTAAAGGGTGGAAAAGGGTCCTTTACTTACTTTACTTATTGCGGTGTGGGTTCAGACTCAACCCTTCGCACCAATAGCCAAATCTATAGCCACTGTGTTACCGCATCTCCCAGTAATATAATAAGTAGAGCGAAAAGCTAGCCAGAGAAAACAGCATTTTTTTAAATTTATTATTTTTTTTTTTTTTTTTTAATTAAAATTTTTCTAACTTAAGTAAAAGTACGACTATTCGTGTCTTGGCTAAATTAATTATCAAGCTTTTACAATATTTGTGAAGAGGTCGCGGCTCCCGGGGCGCCGCGGCGTACAGTTTGGAAACCACTGCCCACTTGTAAAAATCTGCAACCCAGTAACCGTTCAGTGTAAATTTTGTTGAGATTTGTCATGCGCCCTGTTGATAGTCAAGTCGGTGTAGGAAAATAATTATTATATAAACAACAATCTAGTTTTCATTTATGGGTACACAAATTATTAGTAAGACAAAGATCAACGAAATTAGCCGCTGTAAGAAAACACCAATACCTGTGCTACTGTAAAATACGGAATCGTAAGGACATGCGAAATCTAAGACCACACACAAAAATGTACGTGAATCCGTACAGTTCGAGATATTTGTTTATCTTTCACGGCACGACTTTTCTTCGTAACGGACTACGGTACCATCTATAGGGCCTTGTGGCATAGTCGTGTACAGTTCGGAGGAGCAGATGGATTACCTCTGTCTTGTGAGATTGATGCAGAGGGGAATGACGAGATGTTCTGGCAGATACTCAAGGCTCAAAGTGAAGGCAAGGCGGACGTTTAATCAGAATGCTACTTGCTCCATTAGTATTGGAACTTTTTACTAGCTGCTGAGGATGGGAACGGAGCGCTTATGTTAATGCTCCGAGTACTGTGATGTCAGTTCTTGAATCAAATCAAATCAAATCTACTTCAGAAAACACGGAAAAGTACTTATTTATAAAAAATGTGACCAGCACTTATTTACCTATAATGCTACTAGTGTTCAGTAATAGAATAATATAACAAGTACACGTCTGTGACAAAGACTCTCGCCCTTAGGATCTCTGCAGGATATAAGGTGGTTGAGCTTTGTGTGAGGCTCTTGGCAGGCGTCTAGCCATTCTGCGGAGAGAGACCGAGCTGTACTGGTTTGTTTTATTATCCAGCAGCCATGAGTTGTTAACCCTTAGGCTCGGTATTATGGATATCGCAATCTTTCGGCCTTGATTCCATTGTAAATACCGTAAATCTGGGAGAAATGTGGCTTTTCTGCCTACCCCCGGGAGTGAACCCGGACCACAAAGAGTTCACCCGGTCTCCGCGCAATCCGGTTTAGCCAACTACGCTAGAGAGCAGGGCAGCTGTACTGGATAATCCAGTATAGTAAAGTCAATGCTCTCAACTATAATTTTTACCTCGATAAAATAACTCACCTGCTCTAGCTATTGTTGCTATTGCAACTACAACCACAAGGCCTACAAAGAAATCTTTAAGCTCCATGTCTGTCGAAGGATCTGAACTTGCAAACGTCTTCTCCCGACCACAGCGCTGTCCACAAGCTTGGGATGATGCTTTTTATACAGTCTTCTGGTGTCTTACTAGTTTGCATTATTGAGTGGGAGGTAACTGCACATTTCTTTGGCTCATGTTCCGCCATGACTAGGTTAAGACAAGTGTTGATTTAACAGAACTACGACTTTAAATATTTTCTTGTCAAATGCTTGCAAGAATAATGGAGGTCGGCTATCAGAAGGGCGGTTTTCACAATATGACTCATGCGTGCAGTGATGGAAATGCATTCTTCTGTAAAAATCGACGCTTTCACTATGTTAGTTCCGACATGCGTCACAAACAAGATAATAAATTTAGGCCGCTACAGATGCCCCATAGTTTGTTCTAAAGGGCCACTGATGTTTCCAAATTTCCACATCTCTCTCTCTCTCTCTCTCTCTCTCTCTCTCTCTCTCTCTCTCTCTCTCTCTCCCCTCCCCTCTCTTTCTTTCTCTCCCTCCTCACCCTCTCTCTCTCTCTCTCTCTCTCTCTCTCTCTCTCTCTCTCTCTCTCTCTCTGAATGGCAAAATCTGCCAAATCTGGACACTTCTGTGAGACTGTGGAGTTCGATAAATATGCTCATCGTCTTCAGGTTAAAAAATTAGCAATACCCATAAGATAAAGTGTGCTCTGAGTTAACACTGGCCTTTAATGGATTAACAGGCAGGTTTTCATCCAGACAGAACTTATAATGGCTAAATAGCCAGATTATGTGTTATAATAAGATAGCAGAGTATTGCTTTAATTCACGACTGCATACTGGATTCGTAGACTGTCCACACACACACACACACACACACACACACACACACACACAAAGCGAAACAGTGTGAACAGCTAAAACAGTTACTAATAAATAACAAACATTTATTAACTTATTCTTGCGCAGAATAGATGGAATAAAATGCGAAGCTCTGAAAAAGAATTAAATAAATTTCAGTGAATATAAAGGTGGAGACAGGACACTGGCGCCGGATAGAACAAACGTTAAGAAATCCTGAGAACAATACAGTTAGAAAGGCTTTACACTGTAACTCAAACAGGACAACACCGAAATAAAGGTAGACAAAAGACACATGGAGAAATAAACTGAGGTGACGGTAACAATATGGGAAGGACATGGGGTGGGATGCATGGGATAGCAAAGGATAGGACGACCGGAATGAGATGGTTGAGGGCCTATGCTCCTCTGTGGGATAAACGGCAGAAGAAGAAATAAGAAGAATGGGAATGATAATTCTAGACTTTTCTAATCTGCCGTCAGTTGGTAATGCCATGATCTGGTTTGTAACGGTTCGTTTTATTTAAAGAGATCAAAGCGCTAGATGTTTTAACGACTTAGTATATTGGTCCCATTCACACGTGTACACACATATACATACTCATACGTTCGTGTATATATAAATGTGTGTTTATCATACACACACATACACACACACACATAAGGTAAATAATCACTGTCGTTTCACAGGTGTACCAAATAATAGAACCTGGCTGGTCATCTACTCACTGTGGGAAGTAAACAAACGGTCACAGTGTGTCACCAAGTATGTACAAGAATGCTGGTATTTACGACCTCGTATATTCTATCCAACGTACACACGTACACATATATTTGGCTGTGTGTGTATTTGCGTGCATATGATATGAGGTGTATACGAAATGGATCGAGTAAAAAACAAGAAGATACAGTCACCATCGAAGAACTAAGAACACTTGTAGGCGCGTTCCCGGTAAAGGATTTCATAGAACATCAAAGAATTGAATGGTTTGGTGATCCTGTCAGAATGGATAAAAAAATAGCCAGCATCTAGAGACTACTAAATGAGAACAGCCGTCCACAAGCGAAGGGAGCAGCCAAGAAGGAGATGGGAGGAGGGAGTAGCATAGACACTTCAAAAACGCAGTATGACATTAACACAAGTTACGCGACTAACTTCTTCTTGTTAAAGTCTATGTTGTATGGCGTTGGTAGTCATGTCTATTCATAACCTTCTGTCTCGTGTACTTTCAGTCAACTCTGACACCGATGATCCCCCATAGTCCATGGCGTGTGGCGTTAGTAGTCATGTCTATCCACAACCTTCTGTCTCGTGTACTTTCAGTCAACTCTGACACCGATTATCTCATATAGTCCATGGCGTGTGGCGTTGGTAGTCATGTCTATCTACAACCTTCTGTCTCGAGTACTTTCAGTCAACTCTGACACCGATGATCTCCCATAGTCCATGGCGTGTGGCGTTAGTAGTCATGTCTATCCACAACCTGCTGTTTCGTGTACTTTCAGTCAACTCTGACACATATGATCTCTTATAGTCCATAGCGTGTAGTGTTGGTGTTCATAACTATCCCCAACCTTCTGTCTCGTGTACTTTCAGTCAATTCTGACACAAATTATCCTTCATGTCATGATGTCAAAACTGGTCAGCATTTTTTCTCTCAGTCTCACTCTGCCTCTCCCCCCGTCCAGCTTTCCTACTACCACGATGTACTCCAGTTTTCTCCTTCTCATCACATGAACAAAGAATGTAGATTGTCCCCTTCTGATGTGGGCAGTCAGTTCTCTTCGTAAGTCAGTTTCTTTCTAAACATCTTTATTATTTTTACTATCTACGCGACTAAAAACAGACAGGAAACATTGAATTCCTCATTGCGAAGCCTTTACGGTCTAATAGGACATAGGAAGATATGTACCTATGCATGTATGCATGCAAACATATAGGCTTTCTAGCACACATGGACATAAGACTACACAGCAGTCACTAAAAATATGGAATCATCATTTAGTCCTACAAATATCCTCCAAATAGTCCTTTTTAAAAATAACTTGAAGACCCCTGACCTAACAAACGATGCACATTATGTTATTCGTATGCTGGGGCACTCGTCGCATACGTGATACTTCAGTGCTTTTCGTGTACATCTACAAGCAAGGGGATCTTCGTGTACCTGCTGTCCACACTTCAACGATAATTAGATGAGGAGTAGCTCACTCACACTTGACACGTTTCACATCCACGTCAGCCATGTGGGGTCTTTTTTTCCTCTCATGGTATTGACTAAGGCAGCAGTTGTCAAACTGGGTGAAGTGGGACCTTGGGGCACCGCGAGCATATGCCAGGGGTGTCGCGGAAATAATCAAGAAAATTCGGCGAAGAACTGTGAAATTATTAAAGAAAGTATGTAGACACTTGAAAGTTAAAATTTAAGTTGTCTTTCTTCGCCACTGTCGAAAACAGTTCATTTTGTGTTATATTTTATTTTTGACAGGCCTTGTTTCGAAAAGTACCCAGAGTCAATCCGGAAGCCGGCCTGAGACCCGACATGGTTCTGCACTCTACCGGAAACGGCCAGCTCATCCTGATTGAACTGACCGTGTCGTACGAGTCGCAGATGGAAGAAAATCACCTGTACAAGCTCGAAAAGTACGGTCAGCTCGCGGCCGGTCTGAGAAGAGACGAAGCGTACGCAGTAAAAAATCTTCGCCGTCAAGGTAGGCGCACTGAGACCAGTGCATTTCAATTCCCAGGACCACCAATGTGTCCACGACATGGATGTGACAGCCATTAAATCTAGCTACTCCAGCGGCAGAGTTTGCAAGTCTCTTGAAAATCTCTTTATATACACTTTGGGAGCTCTGGTGCCCAATTGACTGAACTGCCAACACAGCTTCATCCAAATCCGAGGGGGGGGGGGTGAACTGTCCACGCGGTTTCATATTATCCTCCCGTGATGGCCACTGGTACATCCCGTGATATTTATTTTTCCGGCCCCACGTGCCTCACCAGACTGTTGGCTTGACATCGACCTGGCTGCCACGAGATATGAAGATAAGTGATATTGTGTATTTGTGTAGTATTGTCTAATCTATGTATGTGCTGAAAATGCCCCATAGTCGCAACGTTTTGTTTGTGTTTGCTATATTGTGAAACTTGCTGATATTCTTTTCGTTCGGTTTTATGTCCTTATCTGAAAAGCAGACACAAAGTCTTCTGTCGCACCAAGCGTTTCTGTAAGAATGGTGAAAATATGGGGGTGACTGCAGTCAAGCTTATACAAGAAATTCCAGAGAAATTTGACTAAAAAGCTCAACAAAAGGGGGAAGCAGAAAAACGTGCTCAAAACAACACAACGTAACGTATCGGCCAAGCAGCCTTTTTCAAACATAAGTTAACTACACAAACATAAGGAGTAGTTACGATTTTTCGATAGGCATGCCTTGCCTTGTATTTCAGTCTTATAGAAATATCCTGAAAAATGTAGACCCTGATAAAAACCCATCTCGTTAATTTGTAGTAACGAGTAGTTTGTGTAGTTCACTTATGTTTGAAAAATGCTGCCTGGCCGAAACGTTACGTTGTGTTGTTTTGTGCACGTTTTTCTGCTTTCCTATTTTGTTGAGCTTTTTAGTCAAATTTCTCTGGAATTCCTTGTATCTGTAAGAACAGACGGAGAACCAAACGGGAGGATTATTCAATTTCTAAAAATGAAAATGTAAAGGATATCACGAAAAATTCATCTAAACAGATTTATTCATCAGATTAAAGACAACTGAACATTAAATTTGCCCATGCGCTTTGCTTGTCCCGAATTACTGATCCGTCTGTGTAAACTATAGTATCACCTTCATCTGTATGTTCATCAATAAATGATGACGATGACGTCAGAGAGCAAGCGCGAATACTTAGTGTGAAAAAATGCATCTGAAAATTCAGCTTGTAAATTTTCGAACCAAACAGCACGGCCACTGGACTAGGTCTGGTAGTTTGTCTCAGCTTTCCTGTGGCTTAATTAGACGAACTCTGAAGTGTTAGAAACCACAGCAGAATTACTGTACAAATTAACGAGAGGGGTTTTCATCAGGGTTTACATTGCTCAGGACATTTCTATAAGACTGAAATACGAAGCAAGGCATGTCTATCGAAAAATCTATGTATTCCAAAGTCTAG